TTTTAATATATGTATTCAAGGCTATACCTTTCCCTCCAAGTACTGCTTTTGAGGCATCCCACAAATTTTGATACGTTGTATTTTCATTTAGTTCAAAATATATTGAAATTTCTCTTGATATTACTTCTTTGACCCATCTGTTATTTAGAAGTGTGTTGTTTAATCTCCAAGTATTTGGGGATTTTTCTAGCTATCTCTCTGTTACTGGTTTCATTGTGGTCTAAAGGCATACTCTGTATGATCTCTATTCATTTAAGTTTGTTGAAGTATGCCTTATGGCCCAGGATATGGTCTATCTTGGCAAATGTTCCCCTTTGAGTTTGAGAAGAATGTGTATTCTGCCATTGTATGAGGTATTTTAGAAATGTCAATTAAATATTGTTGATTGATGGTGTTATTTAGTTCAACTATATCCTTACTGATTTTCTAACTGTTGGCTCTTTCAGTTACTGATAGAGAGGTGTTAAAGTCTCCAACTATAATAGTGGATTTGTCTGTTTCGCCTTAGAGTTCTATCAGTTTTTGCCTCATGCATTTTGATGCTCTTTTTTCATTCTTTTTTTTTTCTTTCTGTTCTTCAGACTGGGTATATTAAATTTCTTTATCAAGTCTGCTGATTCTTTATTCTACCTGTTCCAATCTGCTGTTTAACCCCTGCAGTAATTGATTCATCTCAGTTATTGACTCACATTTTGGGGCTTTTACCAGCCTCCTAAGTAAAAAGCCTTTCTAAGCTCCTTTATAAAAGTAGTTAGGAATCATGTTCTGTTGTTCATTTGTTTCCAGCATTTCTCTATATAATTTAAGTTTTGAAGCATTTACTTTACAATTTGGAGTTGTTTTTGTTTTGAACCATATCAGAATTTTACTTTTCTTGTTGAAAGAAGAAATAGACGTTTTTATTCCCATTGCTAGGATTTTTAAGCTTCAGAGTCATTCTCCGTGTTGAATGGAATCTACTTTCTTCTTGAAGTCATTTTTAGAAACTCTTCCTGTTCTGAGTTGAGATGATTACTTCATAGGCACAACTGTCATCTCAGTACTTTTTTCTGTTGTCTGCTGTGTTTTGGACCCCATGTGTTAAGAATTGAGTTGTATCCCCCAGAAAGATACGTTGAAGTCCTAATCCCTTATACCTATGATTGTGACTCCATGTGGAAATAGTCTTTGAAGACGTTATCAGTTAACATGAGATCATATGTGGAATGGGGTGGGCCTTAATCCAGTATGAGTGGTATGGTAGCTAAGGTTGTGTGTCAACTTGGCTGGGTGGTGGGTTTTTTTTTTTTTTTTTTTTTTGGAATGTTCGTGGAAATTTTATTCATAAAAGCTAAAAACTAAGAAGAACCCAAATGTTCTTCACTGGGTGAATGGCTGAACCAACTTTGGTAATTTCATACAGTGGAATACTACTCAGCCGAAAAAAGAAAAAAGGAATGAAATATTGATTCATGCAATAATTTGGATGGGTCTCAAGGGCATTATGCTTAGAGAAGAAAGCCAGTCTCAAAGGGTTACATACTACATGATTCAATTTATGTAACATTCTCAAAATGACAAAATTAGAGAGATGGAGAACTGAATGGTAGTTGGCAAGGCACAAGGACAGGGTGAGAATGTAGAGTGGCAGCAGGAAGGAATTCCTTTGTGGTGATAAAAATAGTTCTTTATCTTGCTTGAAGAGTGGTTACATACATCCATGTTGTTGTTGTTGTTCTGTGCCGTGGAATCGGACCCAACTCATAGCTACCCCTCCTTGGGTTTCTGAGGCAGTATCACTACGGAAGTAGATTGCCCCATCTTCCTTCCAAACATGAATCCATACCTGGGGTGAAATTGCATAGAACCACACACACAAATGAGTTCATGTTAAAACTGGAGAAAATCAAACAAAGTTTGTAGTCAAGTCAACACTTGTATTAATGTCAGTTTCTTGATTTTGATAGTGTACTTCAGTTATATAAGATTTCACCATGGATAGAAGTTGTTTGAAAGACTTTAATAGTCTTGTAACTTCTTGTGAGTGTATAATTGTTTTAAAATTAAAGTTAAAGAAATTAAAAACATTTGAAAATCAGTTATCTAACCTTTCATCTCAGGAAGTTAGAACAAGAACAGGAAGTTATACTTAAAGAAGTAGAAGAAAGGAAATAATAAAGAGTAGGTATCAACAGTGTAATAATGGCTTAGGCTGGGTTCTCTAGAGAAACAAAACCAGTAAAGCTTATAATATATATCTACATCTATATATATGTATATACGTATATACCAAAACTCACCACCATCGAGTCAAGTCTGACTCATAGTGACCCCCGCTGGATTTCCAAGGCTGTAAATCTTTACGGAAGTAGATTGCCCCATCTTCCTTCCTCAGAGTGGCTGGTGGGTTTGAACCTTAGACCTTCTGGTTAGCTGCCAGATGCCGTTTGGGTGGTGGTTTTGAGTGACCTAGATAGCTGGATGTAGTTATTTCCCATGATGAGATTGTAATCACCTCCATGGTGAAATCTGCTGTGAGCAGCTAAGTGTCTTCAGGGTGTGGCTGCTTCCAGTATATAAGAAGAAACTTTGAGAAAGGTCTCTAGCTTTTGGCACACTTTTTTTAAAAAGCAAACAAACAAACAAACAAACACATCTGCCGTAGAGTCGGATCTGACTCATAGCGACCCCTCCTTGGGTTTCTGAGGTGGTTTCACTATGGAAGTAGATTGCCCAGCCTTCCTTCTGAGGAGTGGCTGGTGGGTTTGAACCGTCAGCCTTCTGATTAGCAGTCAAGTAAGTGCCTTAGGCACTACGCTAGTTCCCAGAGGTTATTTAGAGTTACACAAAAAGTTTTGAGCGTGTACCTCATGGAGAAAGTAAAGCCTAGAAACCAAAGAAAGCTGCCTAACCCATTGTCTTCTTTTCCTCTGGACAGGAAAATGGTCGCCCGTCTTTACCAATGCAAAAGCAGAGACACCGTGGCCAGACTAACCTTGCAGGAACATCTCTTCAGTCAGCAGCATGCTATGCACCACAGCAGCCAGTTCGCAAAGAGCAGGAGCCAGTCCTCAGGATGGAGGAGGCAGTTCTCAGGGAGCAGCCACTGGTCCGCGAGAAGCAGGAACAAGTCCTCTTGTTGGAGCAGCCAGTGCTCTTGGTGCAGAATGTGATCCTCAGGGAGCAGGAGCAGCCAGTCTTCATAGGAAAGGAGGCAGTTCTCGTAATGGGAGAGGTGGTTTTAAAGGAACAGGAACCATTCCTACCGGTGGAGGAGCCGGTCCTCACAGTGGAAAAGCAGGAGGAAGAAAACAGGGAAAGTCTTTCTCTTCCCAAAATAGTATCTGCATGTTCGTTAAAGCCAAGTTTTACACCAGGGAACCAATTTCCCAGTCTTGCTGCAATGTCCTACTTTTTCAATAAAGAAGCTGAAAACAACACCAGCATTGTCTCATCTCCCCAACATACAGTAGAAGTACCTACTGCCATTCTCCCACAAAGACAGAACAGTGTGGCGAATAATCGTGAGATGATGACTTATTCAGCTTTACTGGAAAATAGCACTGGGAGCACAGATAATACCTCTCTGCCTCCCAATTTTGGTGAGTTTGAAATGACACATATTACATGCAATACTTCCTTAGCTAGATTTCATCAGTGTCCTTAATGCAAACTAGTGATAACTATTTTTGTTTATTTTTTAAAAATTTTTATTGTGATTTGGGTGAAAGTTTGTAGAACAAATTCATTTTCCATACAGCAGTCATACACATTTTGTTTCATAACATTGACTGCAGTTCCCCACAACGTACCAGCTTGCTTTCTACTTGCTCCCTGTAGTTCCCTTTTCCCTGTGTCCTTCTTTCCTATACATCATGCCCCCTGAGCTATCTCCCTGTGCAAATACTACTCTTCTGTTCTCCCATGATTGATCATTCTAATGAGTGTATCTACTGATGTAAGTGTTAACTTTATATGCCTGTCTGACTGGAAACCATGGGATTGAGTTCTGTTCCAGACCTGTAGGGTAACTGGGGACCATGGTCTTAGGGGTCTCACCAGGCTCTATCAGACCAGTAAACCTGGTCTTTTTTATGAATTTGAGTTTTGTTCCAAATTGTTCTCCCACTCTATGCAGGATCTGTGATAACTATTTTTTTAAATTACATGTTTTGTACTGAGATTATTGTAGATTTAAAAAACCCCAAAAAACCCACACTCACTGTCACCAAGTCGATTCAACTCATAGTGACCCCTCCTTGGGTTTCTGAGGCCATATCTCTACAGAAGTAGATTGCCCAGTCTTCCTTCCGAGGAGTGGCTGGTGGGTTTGAACCGCCAGCCCTTCTGGTTAGCAGTCAAATGCCTTAGGCACTCTAAACTTAGGTTAGTTGTTATGCCTTAGTACATGACCAATATGAAACCAAACCAAATTCACTGCTGTGGAGTTGGGTTTCCAAGGCGGTATCTCTACGGAAGTAGATTGCCCAATCTTTCTTTTGAGGAGTGGCTGGTGGGTTTGAACCACCAGCCTTCTCGTTAGCAGTCAAATGCCTTAGGCACTATGCCACTGGAGGTCCTAATAATCTTTGTGGTCAGGAAAACCAGGTGACATATCGAAGCCCTACTAGAGCCAGAACCAAACAGAATGGGGCAGGTGGCAGTTTCCTGAAGGAAAGCTAGGGTGCTAATATTGGAAATACAGGGATCCTGCTGATCCTTAAAAGGAGGCTGGGCAAGCCAAAGTAGCAACTGTCAACTAAGTCCCCCATACAAGTAGGATTTCAGCAGACTGCCAGTCCTCCAAATGTGCCCAGAGGGGCCTGAAGCTTGGCAATGGACTGGGCCTAGACTCTAGTTGCTGCTGCTGCTGCTTCTACTGCTACTAGAGGATAATTGCCACGTGCACTAAGTCATTCCATCCTCATTTTCCCTAATATCAAGGGATTGAGCTTTGGTGGCAGCTGTGTGATCTTGGGCAATGACTCAACCTCTCTAAGACTCAATTTCCTTACCTGTAAAATGGGGTCACAGTTGTATCTACCTCTCGGGGTGATTGTGAGGACTAAATGAACATACATGCTTAGCCCAGTCTATCCCACTTGATGAATCACAGTCAGTGTTAGCTGTTCGCATTGTTCTAATGGATTCGAACATACCAATGAGCAGGAAGATGGCACGGGACCGGCAGCAATTTGTTCTGTTTGCCATTAGCTGAGATGCAGCTGACTTGACAGGAACTAAAAGCAACAGTAGTATCGTTTCTATTAGTAGTAGGATAAATAAAACCAAAACCAAACCCACTGCTATCGAGTTGATTCTGACTCATAGCGACCCCCAGTGGGTTTCTGAGGTGGTAAATCTTTACGGAAGTAGATTGCCAGGCCTTCCTTACATGGACTGGCTGGTGGGTTTGAACCGCCAGCTTCTGGTTAGCAGTCAAATGTCTTAGGCACTACGCCACAAGTTTAGGTTAATTAGGGAAGAATAAGGAGCTCTGGTGACAGCGTTTGGCTGTTGACCAAAAGGTCAGTGGTTTCAACCCACCAGCTGCTTCATGGGAGAAAGATGAGGCAGTTTGCTTCTGTAAGATTTACAGCCTTGGAAACCTTATTGGGCAGTTCTCTGGCTTGTTGGGTCTCTGTGAGTCTGAATCGACTCTATGGCACTAGGTAGGTAGTAAAGAATGCCTGCCTTGAGCTTTATGCTCTTTTAAATTAAATTTTTATTTTCAGATCATTTTAGATTCACATGCAGTTGTAAAAAGTAATAGAGATTCCTTTTATGCTTTACCCATTTTCCACAACTATATAACACCATGTAAAACTATAGTTAAAAAAAAATCACGTGTAGATTGACATTGATACAATCTACAATCCACATTCATTTGTTCATGTGTGGGTTTAATTCTACCCAGTTTATTCACATGTGTAAATTTATATGTCCACCACCACGTCAACGTGGGCCTTTCTCATATTGCTGTTTTATAGCTACACTTACCTCACTCCATCCTTCCCTACTACCTTGCCTGTCCCTAAGTCATGGTAACCACTGATCTCTTCTCCATCTCTATAATTTTGTTATTTTAAGAATGCTATATAAAAGGGATCATATTATATGTAATCTCTTCTGCTTGTCTTTTTTTCACTAACCAAAATTATTTGTAGATTTAAGCAAGTTGTTGCATGTGTCAATACTTTCTTCCTTTTCATTGCTGACTATGTAGGCAGTCAGGAGCTCTGGTAGCTTAGTGCCTAAGACACTTGACTGCTAACCAGAAGGCTGGAGGTTCAAACCCACCAGCCACTCCATGGAAGGAAAGTTGGGCAATCTCCTTCCATAGTGATACTGCCTCAGAAACCCAAGGAGCGGTCGCTATGAGTCGGGTCCGACTCGATGGCACATAACAACAACATGTAGGCAGTTAGGGGCCATTCAAGTGAATCCTGCTGACTGCACCAATTGTACGTAACAGTACAGATCACCCACCTTTGATCCCAAATTACATGGTAGATAACAAGTGTCACTCCATATGCCAGCTGTGTACTGTGGGAATCTCAGCTTCCCTTCCCTGTTCAGTTCGGACTCCAACTGCTCACCTAGGCCTTCCCGCTCCCCCTACCCCCAGCTTCCTCGGGCTGGGTCAGCAGGTACCCCTCACAAGCTTAGGATTTCCTCTTGGCTCCCTCTGTCTCACAACCCCAGTCACCTGGGCCTGGTCAGGGATTTTGGCTGGAAACTTGCGAGTCCATGACTCCACATGCATCAGACTGGCTAGCTCCCCCTGCTCCTTTGGACTCGATATTTGTTGGAACAGCACAGAGCTCAGAAGAAGTACCATACCTGCAATAACAACTTTAATATAACAGTAAAGGATAAAAATGAAGAGATTCCTAGGGTGAGGTCTGGGAATGGTCCCAGCCCAGATATTCCATGTTCCAAAGAGATAAGTGCTCTTCTATGGTCACCAACCCCAAACCTCCACTGAGTCACCATCTTCCAAAGCTTTTATTGACCTTACCACGTGGCCATGTTAAATAATGCATTGTGAGGCTTGGCACTGTTGGGTCCCAAGGTGAGCCTCTGTCCTTGAGGTTTTTATAGGCCTCATCATGTGGCCATAAAAAATTGTATCATGCCTCTTTAGGCTTAATCATTATCAGGCTCCCAGGTAGTCTGGCTGTCAGGAACCCAGAATGAAAGCCCAAATGGCTTTTTTTTTACCTTATAGTACTATTCCATGGTATGGGTATACCACTATTTACTCAACCATTCACCTGTTGAAGGTAATCCTCCCCGTCCCTCCAGTTTTACTATTAGTAGTAAAGCAGCTATGAAAATTCATGTACAGGTTTAATGTTAAAGTAAGTTTTCACTTTTCTGGCATAAGTGCAATTTCTGTATCTTATGGTAATAGCATGTTTAATTTAATAAGAAACTACCATACTGTTGCTCATAGTGGCTGTACCATTTTCCATTCCCACCAGCAATGTGTGAGTGATCCAATTTCTCTGCCTCCGTGTTTCTGCTTTGTCCATTGTCCTTCCTTTCTTCCTGATGTTCTAAGATTCCTTCTACCGTCATATCCTTTCTAGTTGAAGATTTTCCTTTAGCTATATTTTGGGGTAAGTCTGCATGTGGCAAATACTTTTAGTATTTCTTTGTGTGAGAATTGTCTTCCATTTCCCTGGCTTTCCTGAAGGATAGCTTCACTGGTTATAGACCACACCGTTGAGCATTTTTTTCTTAATTTGAAAAATGTTTTTTTCTCTAGAAATGCTGGAAAACGCAGGAACCAGCCAGGAAAACAGCCCTGTGGAAGTGAATTATCCAACCTTTCTGGGGAATAAGAATGACCCCTCTTTACCTTTCTACATCCTACCCAAGGATGGTGAGTTTGAAATGATACATATTACAAGTAGCACTTTTAAGTTTCATTAGCATTCTTAATGCAAGCTAATGGTAGTTATTTTTCAAATATTTAAATTAAAATACTGAATTTAAATTAATTTTTACTTTGAGACAATTTTAGGCTTACATGCAGTTATATGAAATAATGTAGACAGGCACAAGTCACATTTATGCTTTACCCATTTCCCCTTGCCAATAATACCTTGTGCAAAACTATAGTAAAATTTAGCAGCCAGGATATTGATGGTGATACAATCTTAAATTTGTGTGTTTGTGCATCTACATTACATGTGCATGTATTTGTTGTGCGCCATTGAGTTAATTCCATCTTGTACCCATCATCCCCATTGCATTCCATTTGATTCTGACTCATATTGACCCTTTAGGACAGAGTAGAACTTCCCCAGAGGATTTCCAAGGCTGTAAATATTTATGGAAGCATATTGCCTCATCTTTCTCCCATGGAGTGGCTGGTAGATTTGAACTGCCAGCCTTTTGGTTAGCATCTGAGCACTTAACCACAGTGCTGCCAGGGCTCCTGTTCCAACTCATAGTGACCCTTTGTAACCACTATTGTCCATAGTGGTTTCTAGTCTGTAATCTTTATGGAAGCAGATTACCAGATCTTTTCTCCCACGGATCTTTTGTGTGGGTTTGAACTGCTGACCTTCCAGTTAGTAGCCAAGGCTTAAATGTTGCACCACCAGGGCTTCTTGCTTGCATGTTTTAGTTTTGTGCAAAATTGTCCCATGAATAGGTTTGTATATCCACCACCACAGTTGTCACAGAGAATATTCCATCAACCGATAACCAAAAAACTGAACCCACTG